TATTTATTTTGGGGGCTCATTATTATTGTTATGAGTATTGTTATTATCATAGTATAACGGGCCCCAAGACCCTATTGTAACCTAGAAACGAAAACAGGCCCAAACTAGTTATAAACATGTACGATTTTAGGGTTTGGGGTTTAGGGTTTAGAGTTTTAGGCTTTAGGGTTCCGGGTTTAGGGTTATAATGCATAGCACATAACACATAGCAGACTAGAACTTTCCATCCACGTTCAAAGTCATGGCAACAGTGATGACAATGATGACGTCGGCATCCATGGTGACGGTGGCGATGGTGATGCTGATGGTTGCGATCATGATGATCATCATGGTGATAGTGATGATGATCATGATGATGAGGAGGAGGCGGATGATGATGGGGATGATGGGGATGATGACGATGATGATGATGACGAGGATGAGGATGATGAGGATGATGATCATCATGAAATATCATGAAGATGATGCCAGAGTTGCAACAAAATGCTAACGGTGATGTCACTCCGATATCGTTCTGATAGCTCCCTCTGTAACAACGCACCTACGGTCAACATCGCTCACCGTCGTCCTGGCCATCGTCGTCGCCATCACAGTTATCACGGCCATCATCGTCATCAACATCATCACCATCCCCATCATCATCGTAACATGACCATCAACATCCTCATTACCATCATCACTACGATCACCATCACAATCATCATCACAACCATCATAGTGTCATCATCATCCCTAACACCAGCATCATCATCATCATCATCATCATCATCTTCATCTTCATCTTCATCTTCATCTTCATCTCCATCTTCACTGTTGACGTCACCACCTTAGTTCTCCGCCAACTCCAACCTCAAGTTCTGAACCCTCCGCCGAAGCTGCTAGCCTTCTGTGTCGGGTTCAAAGTTCAAAGTTCCAACTGTCAGGAAGTTGACGGAGATCTCATGCCTCCCCCTTTGCTTCCCGCACTTCCTCATAAAACCTGACCCTCCCTTGAAGCCGTATAAGAAACCCCCCTAGAAACCTCATCCCCTCCACCCTGTTAGAGACACTAATGTAGGCCTTAATGATTAGAATAGGGTGTTGGGCCGGTGTTGGGGTAGATTTTACTAGAGCTACACTAAGGAACCCCGAAACCAGTATAGGCAAGTATTGAGGCCCCTATATTACCCCTTAATTAAGGGAGGGATATACCTTAAATCATAATACTAAGGCCCCTATAGTACTTCAAACCCTAAACCCTAAACCCTAAACCCTAAACCTTCAAACCGCTCGAGACTCGAACTCTCCCCGGTTTCCTACAAGGAGGCCTCCTCGAGCACGGCTTCTTCGGCCTTGGCCCGAGACCTTCGGAGTTTTGCATTTTGTCTTCTATAGTATAGGTTGGTTTAGGGTCTAGGGTTTTTTAGGGTTAAGGGTTTAGGGTTAAGGGTTTAGGGTTTAGGGTTTGAGGTTTAGGGTTAAGTAGGTTAAGTTCGAACATCATAGTCCTCATGCCATTATGGTAAAGAGAAAAGGCATCCTCGCGCACATCATCCTAAAACCCATCTTCCATCTTTCTGGGGTTGGCTATTGGGTTTGGGCTGTAGAGTTTACTGTAGGGCCTTCAGGGAATAGGGTTCAGGGTTGAGGGTTGGGTCAGAGGAGTCTTTTAAGGTCATCCTCGATTCTGGAAGTGCATGGATTCCGGCACCTTAAGCCTCGTACGCCAGCAGTGGAAGAAGCAAAAAATGGTCACTGCACTTGCTGGTGGCGAAGCAGTGGTGATCACACAATCGTTGTCGTCGTTGTCGAGTAGTAGTAGTAGTAGTAGTAGTAGTAGTAGTAGTAGTAGTACTAGTAGTAGTAGTAGTAGTAGTAGTAGTAGTAGAAGTAGTAGTAGTAGTAGTAGTAGTAGTAGTAGAAGCAGTAGTTGTAGCAGGAGTAGTAGTAGTAGTAG